CCTGCTGCACTGAGAGCAGCCACCTCACTTTTCATCTGTTTAGCAACTGAGGAATGAATAGCACCACAAAGTCCACGATCTGAGGACACACCAATAAGGAGGTGTTTCTTCTTGTCTTCAGGTACCTTAATATCAGCTTTCTCATACAGAGCCAAAGATCCTATTCCATATGCATGAGCAGGCTTCAGTTCCCTTTCAGCCCGGGCATATTTTGCCACTGCTACCATTTTCATGGACTTGGTAATTTTCTGGATGTTTTTGATGGACTTTAGTCACCTGGTAATATTTTTCAAAGTTGCCATATTTCGAACTTGGATCCATTGTGGCTGTAAGGCCCAGGCTGACAGCCCAGCAACCCTCGCCCAAGAAAACATGGTGACACCGGCCTTGCCAAAGGTGGGGCAGACCTATTACTATTATTTTTTAATTTGACCAGAGAGAGAGAGAGAGAAAGAGAGAGAGAGAGAAGGAAAGTGAGAAAGCAAGTTGTTAGGTCTAGGACTCAAACTGTAGTCGGCCATGTGGGAGTACAACACCTTAACCACTGTGCCACCTGCTGGCCCCAACTAGTTTGTTTTTAATTTGACAGAAACTATCTCTATTTCACCCTAATTAAAAAAAATAATTATTGTATTTAACTTTATTTATTTATTTATTTAAATTTAACCAGAGAGGGACAGAGAGAGAGAGAGAAAGTGAGAAAGTAAGCCATCAGGACTGGGACTTGGTTTTGAGGAGTAATTTCATTAAGTATGAAAGTCTAGGTAGCTATTACTTTATTTTTCTTTTTTAGAATTATTTTATTTGACTTTATTTATTTATTTAAATTGACCAGAGAGGGATGGAGCAAGCGAGAGAGAGAGAGAGAGAGAGAGAGAGAGAAGATGAGAAAGTAAGCCACCAGGTCCAGGACTTGAACTATGTTTGGTCATGCGGGAGTCCAGTGTCCCTAACCACCACATAACCTGCCAGCCACAAGCAGGCAATTATTATTATTATTATTATTTTTTGAGAGGTTTTTGCTATAGGGTGCATGCGCTAGCCAGCCAGACAGATAGAGACATAGAGACAGAAAGCGAGAAATCACTCCCCAGGGGGGATGGTCACGCCGCAATCCCTTCTCCATTCTCCTCTCAGGATCTTGGGCATGCACGCACACGCACCCGGCGTGAGTTTTAAGCCACCGGGTCCAGGACGCAAACCGTGGTCGACTATGTGGGAGTCCAGCGACATAGCCATTACGCTAACTGCTGGTTCCCGAGGCAATTATTTTTTGCATTATTTTTGGGGCACATTAAAAAATGTCATTCTGTTGTTTTCTGGCTCCCAATATTTCTTTTTTAAAAATAATAATTTTATTTAATTTTATTCACCATCATCATTATTATTTCTTAATTTGATCAGAGAGAGACAGAGAGAGAGAAGGAAAGTGCGAAAGCAAGCTGCCAGGTCCTGGACTTGCATCACAGTCGGCTACATGGGGAGTCCAATGTCTTAACCACCATGCCACCTGCTGGCCATATCAATATTTCTTTCTTTTTTAAACAAAATAATTATTTATTTAATTTTATGTATTCATGCATTATTTTAATTTGAACAGAGAGAGACACAGAGAGAGGGAAAGTGAGAAAGGAAGCTACCATGTCTGGGACTTGAACTGTGGTTGGCCATGTGGGAGTATCCAGTGCTTTAACCACCATGCCACCTGCTGCCCCCCCCCATCAGTATTTTAAACAAAATAACAATTATTTTATTGCTCCTTAGAATATAACACATCTTTCATCTTTAGCTGTTTAAGATTTTTTTTTGGTCTTTGGTTTTCAGCATACTGTAATGTATGTGAGTTTGTCTTAATGCTGCTTCATATTTCTCATATTCTAAGGCTTGAATTTCAAGATTTCTCAGCTTTTCAAAGTTCTTAGGTATTAACTTTAGAAAAGGGAATATAATTTTAAAAAGATTTTAGGTTCACAGTGAAATTTAATAGCAAATACAAATAACACTCCTAGCACTGTTAACTTCCTTCCTTCTTTCCTCTCTCTTTCTTCCCTCTTTTCTTTCTCTCTTTGTTGTCAGAGGATACATACACTCACCTGAGAGAGACACAGAACAGGGCGAGGGAGAAAGCACTCCCCAGTGCAATCACATTGTAATCCTTTCTCCATTTTGTCATGACTTGGGTCATGCATGCATATGCGCCTGGCATGTTTTACAAGCTGCTGGGGCCAGTGTTTGGACAATATGGTTGACCATGTGGGATCTGGCTCCCTTAACCACTAGGCTTTGGGGCCAGCCCCAACTTCTAAATATTGCTCCCACTCTATTCTTTCTCCCTTTTCCTTCTGGGACTCCTATTACTGTATCTTTTTTTTTTTTTTGGAGAGGATTTTTCGCTATAGGGCGCGTGCACTTGCCAGACAGACAGAGAGAGAGACATAGAGACAGAAAGCGAGAAATCACCCCTCAGGGGTGATGGTCATGCCGCAATCTCTTCTCCTCCATTCTCCTCTCGGGATCTTGGGCACGCACGCACACGCGCCCGGCGTGAGTTTTTTGTCTTTTTGTGCGGGCTAT